CTTACAGTACTGATGCCACATACTATCAGATTCTTGTCTTTGAGCCTTAATCTCATTACACATTTACATTAGTCTGATTTCTTACTGTACAACTTGCAATCTTTATGTTTGAGAGACAATCGTATCAATATGCAACTATCTCATACCTTCTCCAAATGATGTTATAGCATATACAACTCATAAATTATGTATTAATCCCATGATTATGCGAATAGAATCCTGAATTGCATGAATATTATATCTGTTTATTATATTCTACTCCAAAAGACAATTATCGTAACAAAGAATGCCATTATAGCATTTTCTCATAAATGCCGCAAATGAGGTCCATATTTATTCGAATAAGTTATGTTTAATTATGTTAACCTTCAGTTAACTTTCGAATACCCCGAGTTTGAAATTCCAGGCAGTTACCACTTAGGAATAACAATTTGTTTCATTATTATGCAAATTAACTCTTTATTTTAATAATCAATATCTGTTTCTCTTGTTCTCAAATAAATATGTCACAAGCTTGAATAGTTCTATCATGGAGTACAGCTGATTTATAGAATTGCCTTATCAATTATGCAAAATACATCCATATTTTGCATAGTTGTAATGTTGTTATGTCAACCTTTACTTACACACAAAAGATGACGACGATCCATCGATCGGTTCGTGAGTTATCATCCTTTAAACATTTTACAACAAACCTTCCTGCAGTTCCAAACTCACGTCACTTCTTCCCCAGCACAAGAGCTACATACCATTTGAATTTCGTGACCCTCGCAATCTGTATCATGAGATATCAAAACCGAAAGTTCTGCTGCAGTACCATGACAATCCGCCAGGTGGCCCAAAATCTAATCATTTTCAGGTCTCATCAAGACCTACTTACCTACAAAGTATCAAGACAATTCATCAAGGCCTTCTCGAGTTATGGTGTCTAAAAAGATACAAACACTCAGGAACACCCCTGAAAACATAACCTTTTTGGCAAAGGTAATCAACAGGGTTCTCCTTAGCGCAGTACTTCAAGCGAAATGGGGAGAGGCCAGTCATTCGCCATGCGCAGAAAATGCACTCTGTGTCATTAGAGTTACTTTGGGGGTATGTACTTTCGGGTTCAGTACAGTTGGCTTTTGCACACAGAAAACACATTAAAAAAACAAGTATACTGGACGGTCGCAGTACTACGGATAATCAGCACAGAATTTTGGTTTTCATCCTTGATTTGAGTTTGCCAAAAAAAATCAATAATGTTTTTCGCACGCGAATGTGCACGTTCTATGCCTTGCCCCTGCCATATACTTCTGGTGGCCGTTCCAGTTCAACTTACGTCCGTTGCAGTTCCAATCCAGCTGCTACCAAAACCACACCATTTGCTTCAATCACTAATAGCTATCCACTGTTAAAATTTATTCACCTGACACTTGTGGAAAATTTTACCCCAACTTTTAACGTTACGCTGCAATACCCAAAAAGCCACTAGAAGGACTATTAAAAGAACTCAACCTCCGTCACTTACGTCACTACCCGAAAACTGAATACCATTAAAAACTGACCACGTTTTCTGAAGTTATAATGTTTACAACTAGAAACCCCAAAATACACAACTCTCTGCAGCAACGTAGGGACGTCATATGATAACGATTTTTTACCTTTTTTTCTTCTATAACCGCTTTACACCTACCAAAAATCATCAAGATCCATTTACAGATTTTGTACTTACATTACATACATACAATCGAAAAATATACAAAAAAACCGCTACAAATAGACTTGGCTTTCCAAAACTTGAAGTACATTCTAAAAACAGCTACCCACACATTAAAATTAAAAAAAAAATGTACCGATAAATAATCGAGTTATAACGTCGACTTCCATGCGAATCCACACCAGGCTACAAAAGGATTACATTGTCTTCTTGACGAAGACAACGAGCCCATAGAACGCAATTCATACTTAGGAAATAAACTTTTTTTTTTAATTTTATTTTATTCACATGGATTTTCGAGCATTGGATAGGAAGCACTTGTTGTGCTTATGTGAATCTGCTGCTCATAAAACATAATACAAATGTAAACATTTGTTTATTTGTTTATTTGAATGATCTCCATTAGTGAGTATACACTTATACTCACTATTCTTCCTGGAGTCTTAAAAACATGTTACAGACTAATAACACAGACGTACACTTGCTTAATGCTATACATAAAATACAACAACCTGTAACTAATTACTTATTTAACATATCCTATTCTATGTACACCAAGTAATGAGGTAAGAGATTGTTAGATTGTTAGAGAGGTCAGAGGTCAATGCATACAAATTATATATTTACGTTTACATTAATACATACAAATTATATATTTGTCTTCGTCAGAAGGACTATGAAATTGTCTCGCCGGAGTGTGGGGAACTGCGGATTTTGCAATATAACTCTGGAAGGCATGATTCGACGTCCATGATCTTTGGCAGGCAGATTACCGCTGTTGAGGCCGAAGTCAAGTACAAGTTTCGGCTTCGTGGGGGGTCCGTGCATCACGTTAGTGCACCTTTTGTGTTTGTGGCTTGTTAGCAAGATAACTCAAGTATTTCAAAATGTTGATCATAATTCTTGGTGTGGGGCTTACTATTGTCGGGACCAAGGTTAAGTTCGTTACTGAGCTTCGTGGGGGGTTTCGTTGTGACTACAGGGGGCATTTTGTTAATTTTTCTTGTGAGCAGAATAACTTTTGTATGTGTGGATGGAAGTTAATGAAATTTAATAGGCATGTTACTGTGGTGGTCTCCAAGATTGATTTCAAAGATGAGAGTCGTGGAGGTCGTTATGTCCCCGTAATAGGACCTTTTGTGTTTAGAAATCCCCCACCTACATCTGCTTGGAGACAGCCGACAGTTGGATATAGCCGGGGAACCCCATAATGGGATGGGATCAAATGACGTTACATTGAGGGATTGTACTATAACTTCAGCAGGGGGAGGATAGGTTGGACATATGTCAGGTTATTTTCTACGGCCACACCAAGTAATTGCTATGGATGACGTCCACTGGAGACCTTAAATCTAATTACCTTAAATTTAAGGCAAGCGCGCAATAAAATCACGAAGGGCCGAAAAACGAGATGCCTAGATTTGGAATATACTAACTGTAGAAGTACAAATGTTAGGACGCAAAGAACACAAGAAACAAGTCTTCTATTTGTCATAAAGACAAATTAACAAAACAAGCAGTAGTCGCCCTGTTCTGATTCTTTCCTTTATTAACAATCTTCTCTTATTTATAATTTTGCGGCGCTGTCGTGACACTTTCAACACAGTAAGAATTTCTTGAAGGTTTTTTTTTCCAGTAACAGTCCAAACTCAAATAACTAGGGGGGGGGGACGACGACATCTGTATAATCTGCGGCAAACCGTTTC